TGAGGCACTCTTTTGGAAACTCCTAGAAATAACAGGAGGACCCTTAAATATGATCTCAGTTGTCTGGTAGGCAGTGCTCATTTTGGATGGTAATGAGGGACTCTAAGAATGACCATGCCAGCTGGAACAATACAAGGCAATCTTAATAATCAATAGGAAAATTGTGATTTTTTTTCCCCAAAACAATATTTTTTCACAAAATGTTTAAACCTTTATTAACAGTTATAAGATTATAAGGAAATGAAAAAATGTTAAACAAATATGTTTTTAGTATACTCTAAAGTAAAACTTTAGAAACATTACAGAGTTTGATTTCTTTGAAAAAAAAAAAAAACTTGTGAAGAGTACTTTGAATAAAGATGGCTTCTTTTGTCACATAAATTACAATACAAGCAAGCATCCTCTCTATGCCTTAGTAAATAGAATTACTCCTTTTAAAATTTGAATCAGCTTCCAACATTTTATTCTGTAGCTTTTATTATCATGAAATATCTCTGAGAGTCCCTCTAATGTGAATTTTTATCAACATCAGTTCCTTTGGGACATCTTGCCTCATTCTGTTGGTAAATTTGCCTTTGCTACATGTGTCTGCCTCCGTATCTGCACTAACAACAGTATTTTCAACATTCTTGAAAGCAGCCATTTTTTTTTCTGTAACTTCATTTGCACCCTATTTTAGTTTTATTTCCTGCCTCGTCACTTTTCACTTATTTGCTGCATTTTTATCTTTTTGGCCAATGGCCATTTTCTAGTTACCCACTTTTATAAATGTCACATCGATTTTTCACTGGGAAATAAGGAGGCAACACAACTACACACTTTGCTGTCTCAGGGTGAACTGAGTAACAGATACACAGAGACTCATCACTGACAGACTGTCAAAGAAGTGACAACTGGTCAGAGATTGTGATGTGCATCTGTTTCTTAGTAATGTGTGGACTGTAAGACTAACAGCAAAGTTTGTGCTTTATGTAATTACCCACAGGTAAGAGAAAATGGTAAGTAAAATATGAATTGTATTGTTGGAGGATTGGTATTTAACTAAACTGCAGTAACTAAAACGAATGTATATTAGAACCAAGCAAAGCCAGAACTGCCTGTCTATGAGTGTGTTTGTGTGAACATATTTACTTCTATTTTATAGTTTAAATAATTGACTTTTATTTCTCAAACAAAATATTGGTTTTTATGCTCCCTATTTTCTTCTACTTTTTGGGAATTTTCCTCAGTTTTCTCTATTTTATGATGAGAATTTTATTTAGAGAATTACATTTTTTGAAAATGTATAAGGTAGACTTTTTTATTATTTCAACTTTTAGATTCAGGAGATACATGTGCAGATTTGTCCCATTGGTATATTGCATGGTGCTAATATAATTAAATATTGAATCATTCCTTACAGGAAACTTACAAGTTACTTCATTTATTTAAAATTATAAAAAGCATTTCACTATTAAATTAAATAGATATTGTGTTTTTTAAATGAATTCCTAGTTTATAACATGCTGTTACTTTGTGGTGACATATTTTACTTTCAGCTTTTCTAACTAGTTATTTCTGATATAGGTAAGGGTAACATTTTTGTCAATGTACTGAACACAGTACAGTAGAATTAATAGTTTTTTTAAACTTTTTTTTTTTTTTTTGAGTCAGAGTTTTGCTCTTGTTACCCAGGCTGGAGTGCAACAGCATGATCTCAGATCACTGCAACCTCCGCCTCCAGGTTCAAGCGATTCTCCTGTCTCAGCCTCCCGAGTAGCTGGGATTACAGGCATGAGTCACCATGCCTGGCTAATTTTGTATTTTTAGTAGAGACAGGGTTTCTCCATGTTGGTCAGGCTGGTCTTGAACTCCCAATGTCAGGTGATCTGCCCACCTCGGTCTCCCAAAGTGCTGGGATTAGAGATGTGAGCTACCATGCCCAGCCTGTTTCTTATTTATCTCAAAATTTAAAAAATACAGAAATATATTTGTTTCTTTTATGTTTCTATAATTGTAACTCATAAGTTATAAAACTATTCAAAATTTATAAGTGCATAATTTTTCCTATTTTATTGCATTGGCTATGATCTCTAGAATTATGCTTTCATGGTCCTAAATTAAGTTTAAAATTTAATATTTTATTAAGTTGTTGAGTAATGGTTTCTAGTTGTGGGAAGAAAAGTTTGTTTTATTATTAATTTTTAAATAATACAATAAAATTAATAATACAGTATATCAAATGTAGATACTTTTATCCTTTGTCTCATTCATGTTATATAATTATTTTTGTGGATTTTCTAATATGACTCTCTAAGAATACTGCTTCCCCACTCAGTAGAAAAAGTTGCAAGTTGGCTCAGAATGCTTCTATTTGATAAGCTCTGTCCCATGTCTATTACAATGGTTTCAGTATGTAGTTTTCCTTTGTTTTTTCTTTTTTCTTTTCTTTCTTTCTTTCTTTCTTTTTTTTTTTTTTTTTTTTTGAGACAGAGTCTCTCTCTGTTGCCAGGCTGGAGTGCAGTGGTGTAATCTCGGCCCACTGCAACCTCTGACTCCCTGGTTCAAACGATTCTCCTGCCCCAGCCTCCCGAGTAGTTGGGATTACATGCACACACCACCATGCCCAGATAATTTTTGTATTTTTAGTAGAGACAGGGTTTCACCATGTTGGCCAGTATGGTCTTGATCTCCTGACTTCATGATCTACCTGCCTCAGCCTCCCAAAGTGCTAGGATTACAGGCATAAGCCACCACACCCAGCTGCTTGGGATTTCCTTTGTGTGTTCAGAATGTAGTCATCAGAATGGAGGAATAGAAGTAAGAAAACTTTTTTTTTTTTCCATAAAACGGTCACACCATCAGAGATTGGAAGAAAATAATACTAGAAAAACTAAGATAAGAAATGGCCAATACAATTGTTATGGTTTGACTCTGTCTCCACCCAAATCTTACATTGTAGCTCCCTTAATTCCACCTGCTGTGAGGGACCCAGTGAGAGATGGTTGAATCATGGGAGTAGATCTTTCCCGTGCTATTCTAGTGATAGTGAATGGGTCCAATGAGATCTGATAGTGTCAAAAATGGAAGTTTCTCTACACAAGCTCTCTTTGCTTGCCGTCATCCATGTAAAATGTGACTTGCTCCTCCTTTTCTTCTGCCATGATTGTGGGACTTCCCCAGCCACATGGAACAGTAAGTCCATTAAACCTCTTTCTTTTGTAAATTGCTCAGTCTTGGATATGTCTTTACTGGCAATGTGAAAACAGACTAATGCAGTGAAATGGTACCAGTAGAGTGGAGCGCTGCTGAAAAGATACCCCAAAATCTGGGGGTGACTTTGGAACTGGGTAGCAGGCAAATATTGAAACAGTTTGGAGAACTCAGAAAAAGACAGGAAAATGTGGTAAAGTTTGGAACTCCCTGGAGACTTGTTGAATGACTTTGACCAAAATGCTGATAATGATACGGACAATGAAATCCAGTGTGAAGTGGTCTCGATGGAGATAAGGAACTTGTTGGGAACTGGAGCAAAAGTGACTCTTATTATGTTTTAGCAAATACACTGGTGGCATTTTGACCCACCCTAAAGATTTTTGGAACTTGGAACTTGAGAGAGATGATTTAGGGTATCTAGTGGAAGAAATCTGTAAGCAGCTATGCATTCAAGATTTGACTTGGGTGCTGTTAAAGGCATTCAGTTTCAAAAGGGAAACAGAGCATAAAAATTTGGAAAATTTGCAGCCTGACAACGCAATAGAAAAAACAAAAAAACAAAAACATTTTCTAAGGGGAAATTCAGGCCTGCTGCTGATATTTGCATAATTTACAATAAGCGGAATGTTAATCACCAAGACAGTGGGGAAAATGTCTCCAAGGCATGTCAGAGACCTTTGTGGCAGCCCCTCCCATCACAGGCCCTGAGACCTAGGAGGAAAAAGTGGTTTCATGGACCAGGCCCAGGGTCCTCCTGCTGTGCGCAGCCTAGAAACTTAGTTCCCTGAATCCCAGTCACTTCAGCTGTGGCTGAAAGCAGCCAACATAGAGCTCGGGTTGTGGCTTCAGAGGTGCAAGCCTCAAGCCTTGCCAACTTCCACATGGTGTTGAGCCTGTGAGTGCATAGAAGTCAGTAACTGAGGTTTGGAAACCTCCACCTAGATTTCAGAAAATGTGTGGAAATGCCTGGGTGCCCATGCAGAAGTTTGCTGTAGGGGCAGGGTGCTCATGGAGAACCTCCATGAGGGGGGTCAGAGCCCCCACAAAGAGTCGCTACTGGGGCACTGCCCCGTGGAGCTGTGAGAAGCAGGCCACCATCCTCCAGACCCCAGCATGGTACATCCACTGACAGCTTGCACCATGTGCAGGGAAAAGCCGCAGACACCTAGCACTAGCATGTGAAGGCAGCCAAGAGGGAGGCTGTAACCTGCAAAGCCACAGGAGCAGACCTGCCCAAGACCATGGGAACCCACATCTTGCATCAGTGTGACCTGGATGTGAGACTTGGAGTCAAAGGGGAGATCATTTTGGAGCTTTAAGATTTGACTGGCCCGCTGGATTTTGGAATTGCCTGGAGGCTGAAGCCCCTTCATTTTGGCAAATGTCTCCCATTTGGAATGACTGCATTTACCCAATATCTGTACTCCCAATGTATCTAGGGAGTAACTAACTTGCATTGATTTTACAGGTTTATAGGCAGAAGGGACTTGCCTTGTCTCAGATCAGACTTTGGACTGTGGACTTTTAAGTTAATGCTGAAATGAGTTGAGACTTTGGGGGACTGTTGGGACAGCATGACCGGTTTTGAAATGTGAAGATATGAGATTTGGGAAGGGCCAGTGGCGGAATTATATGATTTGGCTCTATGTCCCCACCCAAATCTCATCCTATAGCTCCCATGATTCCCACATCTTGTGAGAGGGAGCCGGTGGGAGATGATTGAATCATGGGGGTAGGTCTTTCCTGTGCTGTTCTTGTGTTAGTGAATGGGTCTCACGAGAATTAATGGTTTTAAAAACGGGAGTTTCTGTTCACATGTTCTCTCTTTGCCTGCTGCCATCCACATAAGTGTGACTTATTCCTCCTTACCTTCTCCCGTGATGTTGTGGCCTCTCCAGCCGTGTGGAACTGTAAGTCCAATAAACCTATTTTTCTTTGTAATTTACCCAGTCCTGGGTATGTCTTAATCAGCAGTGTGAAACAGACTAATACAACAATTATTACCATACGTATTGAAAAATGAACTATCTAGAAATAAGAAAAATTGGAATCTATAAATTTTTGTCATTTATCTTCCTTTCAACACCTTAAAGTCACACTCATGAACATTTTCAAACTGTCTCCATCAATAAATTTCACATTAAATTTTACTTCTACAACCAAAATACTTTTACAATCATCATAGAAAGTACATAGAGTATTCTTTTAGATTTCTTTTCTTACAATTTTGGTCACTTTTTCAACTGTTTTACATGTATATCATTGTAGAATACAAATATTAAGGGAAAAATAAGAACAATAAACACTGTTATACATTCTTGTTTTCTGTATACTTCCTTTCTCCTTTCATTTACAGGTTATTTCCGAGCCAGTTATATGAAATTTTGATTCCTTTTAAGAAGTTCCATAACTGTAACTATACTATTCTATTAAAAATTTCATTTTAACTACCGACACCACTGACTTAACATGAATTTGGTTTTAAAGAAAACTTTGTTTTTTTGTTTGTTTGTTGTTTTGTTTTATTTATTTTTTTTAAATCAGGACTGTTTAATCACTCATAGCTTCTTAAGTTGGGCTAGTGATTATTCTTATTAATATATTTGCACATTTACGTATATTTTGAGGAAACGTGGAAAACAAATATGCTACGTAATTCATAGGGTCATATGACAGCTTTAAAATGTCATGTCTTAGATATTGCCATTAAAATTCAATTCAAGTCTTCAAGAGAGTTGACTAAATAAAATGAATTAAACTTAATATGGTTTGCAGATGGCTTGGCATATAGTAAATGCTCAATAAGTGGCAGCAATTATAAATAATTTAGGGTGGGAAATAATACTGTAATTCCCCTGGATATATGAGTTCCTGTAATCAGATGCAGTTTACAGTTGTGTTCTTGTCTTCTAAAAATGTTTGAGACTATTTAAAATGTAAAATCTGTTAGTAGACTTGATAGATGTTAAAAGTCACTATAGAAGTAAAATAAATCATATTCTTAATAATACTGAGAAAACTTTGTGGTATTATTGATTATTCTTTTTCTCTTTCTTGGCTTTAGATATATTTCTAATCAGGTAAATGTATCCCATCCATCCATTCATTCATCCAACTTTTATTAAGTGATGACAATATGATAGTACTTGGTCTAAATGATATGAGCAGGCCTGTCTGAACTTGCCTTTTTTTGGTCACGAGTGTCCTTCAAAATAATTCAATTCTCTCTTACTCTTCATCCATGCCTCTTCCTTCATTCCTTCTTTACTGCAAAAACTTCCCTAGTGAAGAATAAATATTGATAACCTTATGTATGCCTTCTTTCAGAATATGATCTGTAAACTCTGAATTTGTCCAGCATGGCTAAATTATAAAGTTAAGATTTTGTATTTCATAAATTAATTAAATGATGTTGAAACCTTTCTGATTAAAAATCAGTACAGGTGAACATTTTATTTCAACCTAGTACAAACATTTCTCACTTTCTTTTTCCCTTCCTCCAGCTGTACATGCCCCCTGCAAATGTGCCATTTCTCCTGTTCATTCTATTAATCTTTTATGCTGTTCATTAAAATGTTACATTTTATACCCAGTATTGTTCACACTCTACAAGGTTTTTATCACTTAGATAAAAGCAATCTACTTGATGCACAGCTGGTTTCCAGTATGATCTAATTGCTTTTGTGATATGACTAAGACACCTAATGCCACACAGAGCACTGCTGAGCTTTTTCACATATGTAAATTCAATTACTTGTAGATGAACTTGTTTTATAACATGTGTCTGAAAAGAGTTTCAGTTCATTTAGTCAGATACCTAACATCAAATCCTACTGAAAATGTGCCTGCAATGACTACATATTTTTCATTTTATATCTCATATTCCTGATTTATTTGAGTTTCTTATCACATATCTCTAATCCATAATATTTTAATGAATACAAATGTTTTAAATGTTCATACCAAATTTCATACCTTCATCTTCGTGGTTTCTATTTTCCATTCCAATGTACTAATCAAAATTTGTAATCAAAGGAGTTTAACTGAGCTATACTTTTATTTGGCTTCCATAGCTATTTTATTATTAATGTATGACATATCATTTAAAGTCCATGAATGTATAATTCGGAAAATTAGCTGTTTGGTTTTAATTTTACATCCCTCCCCCACTTTCAAGATATCACATGCTGTCATCTTGCTCTAGATCATGTCTATTTTCACTTTTAAATTTAAAATTTTCAAGTTATACATTTTTATTAAATGCCTGCATGTTTTTCTACTTGAGTGAAAATTGTTCAGCTAACAAGGTATTTTGAGGGTAAAACGAGACACATGGAGTAGCAATGAAATAAAATCATGGCTCTAAAATTTTCACATAATTTCCTTCGTCTTTCATTTTAGAAATTGAGGTTTTATTTTAAAAGCATGTTTACCACATCCATGACTTTGTATTATCTTTGTCTAATGAAATATCAAGCAGAAACACGGGTCGGATGGGAACCAGTGGGAAAGGGCCATTTTACAAATAAAGCAAAATAAAACTACTGAAAAAGCACTTAGTTCTAATATTTAAAATTAAGAGCCTGCATTGTTAGTGGGAAACAAAAAAACCACATTTATAGAAGTGTAAAACCCTTTCTATACAAAACTAGCTTATTTTACCCATATTTAAATGGACATATATTTCACACAATTATTCCATCCTATCAATGCAAGCATATGACATATTTGCTTGTAATTTACAAAAAAGGAGGTAACTATAAGAATTATTTTAGCATAAAATCACTTAATGTAAGTTTTCAAGTTTTAAGAAGTGTAAAAATGTCTGAACTATGTGTAACAATAGAATAAACTAGATACTAATGAGTATTGGAAGCAATCAGATAGTCTAAGCAACTAAAATGGAACTAAAGATAGATCAAGAATACTGGTGAGAAAGATGCACAATTAGAAATTAGATAAGAACAAACTACCATAGGATACATCCAGTAGAAGTACCAGATGAGAAAGTCCAATAGGGTATAATCACCATTAAAGAGCATAGAATAAATATGTTACATTTCTGCATTCTGAATGTAAAGCAAAGTTTTTAGAAATATTTAATAAATATGCAAAATGTAGTAATGACTGAAAGAATTCAGTCAACCCATATTCCAAAATATTTGCTTTATTTTAAAAATCATTTGCCAGGAACAGTGGCTCATGCCTTTAATCCCAGCCCTTTGGGAGGCTGAGGTGGGTGGATCATCTGAGGTCAGGAGTTCAAGACCAGCCTGACCAACATGGAGAAACCCCATCTCTACTAAAAATACAAAATTAACTGGGCATGGTGGTGCATGCCTGTATTCCCAGCTACTCGGGAAGCTGAGGCAGGAGAATCGCTTGAACCTGGTAGGCAGAGGTTGCGGTAAGTCGAGATCGCATCATTGCACTCCAGCCTAGGCAACAAGAGTAAAACTCCATCTCAAATAAATAAATAAAAACAAGTAAATAAAAATGATTCACAAGAGATACATGGGAACCAAAAATTATAGAGAACATACATGAGAATAACAATGTTTAAAATAATCCATATAGATATTGAGATTAAACCATGTTCTAAAAGTAACCCTTTCTGTGTTGAATACAACATGAGACTACTAAAGTAGTTTAAATTTGCGAGAGTGGCATAAATTTCCCATTGTATGTCTAGTGATAATCTATGAAAACAGAATATGGATTAAACAAGATAGAGGTAAGTTCAGTGTAATCATAAAGCAATTAAATTATTCATCTATGTAGATACTCTCACCTCTTCTAAAGTCTCTTTTAGGACTGTAAATATATACAACATTATACAGGTAGCATTTCTTTTTAAGTTATATTTGTACGTGGTAAATATTTTACAAAATATTTTAATCAGACAGCTGAATGTTTAATTGTCCTCTAGATCAGTCCAGCATTGATCTTAAAAAGAACTGATGATGATTGTGATGTGCTAGATTTCTCAGTTTACTATTGGTATGCTTTAGCTGTGTCCCCACCCAAATCTCACCTTGAATTGTAATAATCCCCATGTGTCAAGGGTGGGGCCAAGTGGAAATAACTGGATTGTGGAAGGGTTGGTGTTCTCTGATACTGTTCTTGTGGTAGTGAACAAGTCTCATGAGAGCTGATGGTTTTGCAAATGGTTGTTTCCCTGCACAAGCTCTCTTGCCTGCTACCATGTAAGATGTGCCTTTCTTCTCCTTTGCCTTCAACCATGACTGAGGCCTCCCCAGCCACGTGGAACTGTGAGTCCATTAAACCTCTTTTTCTTTATAAATTACACAGTCTTGGGTATGTCTTCATTAGCAGTGTGAGAACTAATACATCTATTCAATTAAATAATAATAATTTTCATGTTTAATATACATAGATATGAGTGGTTTGTCAGTATAAGCAAGAGAATTTTAAAAGATAAGAGCAATGACTGAATTATTACATACATTATTGCTTCAATTCTGATTTTTAAAGGCAAATAGTATTTTGGTTTATGTATAATACAGTTGTAAGTATATCCAAAAAGCACTGAATGATGCCCCACTATAAGCACAAAGTCTTCTAATACATAGGAGACTATAAAAGAAACATCCCAGAGGCCAGGCACGGTGGCTCATGCCTGTAATCCCAGCACTTTGGGAGGCCGAGGCGGGCAGATCACAAGGTCAGCAGATCGAGGCCATCCTGGCTAACACTGTGAAACCCCATCTCTATTAAAAATACAAAAAGTTAGCTGGGCGTGGTGGCAGGTGCCTGTAGTCCCAGCTACTTGGGAGGCTGAGGCAGGAGAATGACGTGAACCCGGGAGGCAGAGCTTGCAGTGAGCCGAGATCGCGCCACTGCACTCCAGTCTGGGCAACAGAGCGAGACTTCCATCTCAGAAAAAAAAAAAAAGGAAACATCCTAGAATATTAAGGTGTATAAAATCTAGTTGAAGAAGTAACATATACTACAAAAGAGACCAGAAACTCCATGGCACAGGATCTATAATTGTAATGAATATGATGATAGAGATGTGTGTGTGTGTGTGTGTGTGTGTTGGAGAGCTGTCAAAAAAGGCTTCTTAGAATTGGTACTTGAAATGAGTAGCTTTATCAACTGAAGCAGACAGTGAAAACTGTAAAGTTCTCCTGGAAAATGAGGCAACAAAAGTAAGGCATTGGGCTATGAAGTAGCTTGGGATGTCTAGGCTAAAAGCAATTTTGTGCTGTTGAAAAAGAAAAGAGAGTCAGTCAAAATGAATTTGAGAAGGCCTGCAGGATCCAACTCTTTTCAAGTGTGGCAGTGTATGCTATTTGAGGAGTGTAGAATTTAGGAAATGGGAAGGTTATGATAAAGTTCAAACAGAGGATAACATGCTTGTATTTAATTTTTAGCATCACAATTCTGGAATAAGTATGGAAAAGTGGACTTAGCACTTCATTTCCAGTATCTGGCAGACTAAGAGTTATCCAAACAACTTTCTCCATTGATACAACTATAGTGTCAAATAAAATATAATAAAAATATAACATTGTTAACAAACAAGAACAATCATTTTGAAAGAGAAAAATGAGGATATTCTAGAGATAAGCAAGTGTTAGTGCCAACTTAAGCCCTAAGTATAGTGCAGTTACCAAAAAAAAAATAGTCTTGAGTTGTTACCTAGGTAATACCAAAGGACAGATGACAGGAGATAAGTATTTAGCTTTCACTTTTGTGTATGATGGAGTAGTTTGAATCTAACTGATCTTCAATTTAGTAACAGTTACAAAAGCAGAGAGGGGGCACATAGCTACTTGATGACACTGGGGAGCAATTAGGAAATGGAGTCAGGAAACAGAGTGACTGTAATGCTTGAAATAAGAGAACCATACAATAGGCTCCACATTGATCCCCATTTGTCCTTGAGGTGACCTTCCAGTTTCTTCCATTCGAGAGACACAAACAGAGATGAGTGGTCTTGTTGGTCTGAGGAGACAACAGTTTGGAATTCCCAGGTGCCAGAAGACTTGGAAATCAGACAGCAAAATCCTGAGGCACCAGGACCAGAAGCTTGACATTTGGAGAATACATTAACTATTTGTATTTAACTTATGCCTAAGAATTAGAGGAAAGTTTTCTCTGGACTCAACAGAGTGATCAGAGGTAGTTACAACGGAATCCAGCTGTGCCGTTCACCATCAGCATGTCAGAGGTATTGTTTCCTGTAGACCTTACTTGGACCTTATGGGAAGTTGTCAAGAGGTCATTTAAGAGGGTTTTCTTCCAGAGGAAGTGTCCTCAACCTGAAGAAGAGAATCACTGGAAGTATGGTAGTAAAAGAGCATTCCAGAGGCTGTGCATTGTCCTTTAAAACTATAAGAATGTTTCTGGCCGGGCGCGGTGGCTCACGCCTGTAATCCCAGCACTTTGGGAGACCGAGACGGGCGGATCACAAGGTCAGGAGATCGAGACCATCCTGGCTGACACGGTGAAACCCCGTCTCTACTAAAAGTACAAAAAACCAGCCGGGCGAGGTGGCGGGCGCCTGTAGTCCCAGCTACTCCGGAGGCTGAGGCAGGAGAATGGCGTGAACCCGGGAGGCGGAGCTTGCAGTGAGCCGAGTTGGCGCCACTGCACTCCAGCCTGGGCGACAGAGCAAAGACTCCGTCTTAAAAAAAAAAAAAAAAAAAAAAGAATGTTTCTGACACTAGAGACTAACTTCCAAAAATTGGAAAATATCTCCACACACAAAAAAAGGCAGCTTTAAATACCCGTGAAGCCTGGAGAACTCCAATATCCAATCACAAGGCGATTGAGGCACTTTGTTCCACACTTTTCCACTCTCGCTACAATTCCCTCTCACTCTGCCTGGACTCTGCCATGTAAGAAGTCTCACTATCCTGTGGCCTCTATGCTGGAGAGGAAACATATAAGCTCTTCAGTTAACTGCCCACCAAATTTTTAGCCAACAGCCAAGATTAATGGCAAGCTCTAAAAGTGAGTCATCTAGGATACGTATCTAGCATAGTGGGCTCTAAAATGCTGCAGCCTCAGCTACCATCTGACTACAACGACTGGGATATCAAATACATGAACAGTGCAGGCAAGGCTTCTCCAAATGTGTGACCTATAAAATCATGCACAAAACAATATAGTTTTTTAATTACTAATTTTTTGAGGAATTTTTTGTATATCAGTAGTAATTAGAACAAGAAATCTCTGATCATCTGGATTATTCAGGAAATATTTGCTACCCATTGATGTTAAAGTTAGTCATATGATTCACTCTGGCCAAAGAAAGGATGTAAAATGAGCTTGTACATTGGATTTTGCTTTCTTGCATCTCTGACTTTGTAACCAGAAAACAGTTGTGCCCCTTTCGACTGGACCACAGAATTAACACATTAGTAGCAGCAAGGACCCAAGCCCAAGCAGACATACAGCCTGAAACACAGTTACCTATTCGATGCAAGTCTGCAGACATTAATAGTAATTCCTTACTGTTTTATTTCAATGAGATTATGTGATTGTTAGGCAGGACTTTTGCAACAATAGTTGACTGGTAACAGAACTCAATCTGAAAACAATATACATGTATTATTTGGAGTGGAGTTGAAAATCAGATGGGGGAAAACTATGGGTCAGTTAAGGTAATGAAGCGATGATGACATAACGCTTGTATTTGGGAAGTTTCCTACAAGAATTGTATCTACCTTTAAAAACTTAGAACTTCTTCTTTGAAACAAAGGAAAGAAAGCAGTGATTCCAGAAAGCGAGACAGCTATGAAAGAGAGCTGGGTTTCTAGGATAAAGGTTATAGACTGCGCATGATCACAGGAAACTATTGACACACATTTTAAACTTACCCAGAGAAGATATTACAATTCATGGCAAGCAAAATATACTGGAGGCTCTAGCTAGTGACCTCATCTACATTCCGCTAGCTGTTTTTTTTTCTATTGGAAAGGCACATATTGTTGTAGCTCACAGACATGACGCCTGATCTCATGTGGACTCTCCAACCTCCTCTTTATCTTAATTAAGGCAAGAAACTCTACTCTTTCCCTACTTTTGTAAGGTCAGAATATAGGCTGCATAACCATATTCTGTAACCAGTAATTGAACACATTTGTGTTATAATTATCCAGCACTAGTTTTAAAACTGACCATTAGACAGTCATAACTGTATTATGTGAGGTCTTTGCTACCATTAACAGATTGTAATTTCATTCTTTGAAAGGGTAGCTTGATTTTAAGAGTAGTTGTCCTGAGAGAACTATTTTTTTTTTTTTTTTTTTACTTCTTAAACAAGTCTTGGGATTTTCCTATGCTAAGAAATAACAGATCCTCTCTTAAATATGAAAGATGGCTTGAATGACCCATTTGTAAATGTTTGTGTTCAACTATAAAATACTTTCATTTGCAAGAGCTCAGAGGGCTGCCCCTGACTAATCAAAACTTAATTGTAGTAAAACTGAATATGCTAATTTTTTATTTTTGCATGTTAATTTTCATAGTAACACTACATAAATACCACGTTTTTACTTTAGGGCCTTTTATACCGACAGGGACTACGAGAGGGTTAATTTGGTTTTGTTAAAATAAGTAGACCTTACCTAATAGGACTTACTCCAGTCTAAAATTTTCTATTACCTAATTTCCTTTTAACCTCATTTATGGGCCTAATTTTCAGAAAAAATACACACGTAAAAAAATTTAGTGCAGCCTAAATTTAGTGCAGGGGTCTTAAATTATATTTGGATCAATATGAAAAAGCCACAAGAGAAAAAAAGAGATGGCCCTATGATGACAATAAAGATGGTTTCAGTGTGTATTCATATTTATTATTTTGAAAACTTGGGATCATTTAATTAAGTCACCTTATCTTTTGCCTTAAATTCTTAAAAAGACAGCCATATTAATCCGGCCAAAGAATTACTTTGGAATTTTAAAAGTCTATTGATTTTTTTTCTTCTAAAATCTCTTCAATGAAATCTATCCTTGGAGAATTCTATAAAAAGAGCAGAAGATGTCTTTGCAGTCTTGGTTCCTTCAGACACTTGGCAGTTTAATGACTCATTGTACTTATAAATGTCTCTGATTAAGCCCTTTTATTTTTATTCTGTAATTTAATTTATAACACTACATTTCACACAAAATTTTCTCATCCCTGCTACCTGATTTACTCACCACTAAGTGTCCACTTATGCAGCTGATAGTCTCAAAAACATCAGATATGTTTACTCTGCTTGGCCTCTGATAATTTTCTATAATACATTTGTTCTTTCAAATGAACAGTGACGTGATTTTTTTGCATATAAGATGTATTTAATATGGTGCGTGAAATCATTTAACTAAAAATCAAACTTCAGTTGCAGATGCGCTGATATTGATAAATATTACTAAAGAATGACAGCAAATATTAAGTGTATCCCTTAAACACAATTTTATTTGGATCTTGTAGAGTGATGTAACATTGATGTGACTGTTTGTTTATTGGGGCATTAAAGTTTCCCAAAGCATAGTTTGTTATAGCAGATCAGAAAATGTGCAAATATGATTTTATATAGTATTCTTTTTATTGAGTGTCCAAATATACTGAGTGTGCTTCAAACTGAAGCACGAGTTGCAATAGATATGAAATTATGACACAAATTGCCAGACCAAAATATAATTTTCCAAAGAATAGCTATGAGACTTGGTTCGAAGACCAGTCAGTTCACCTATAGCTGAACCCCCTCACCTATTTTGAGAAAATAAAATAATCAAAGAAATTTCACAAAGAAGTTTTCTTTGATGAGGGCTTTTGCTTCACCTTTGAATCGGGTATATGACTCCTACCTGGAAAATCTAGAGGACAAGGAGTGTTTCAGTGGCAGATCCAGGGAATACCATTGCCATGGGATAGTTCTGCACTCTAGCAGTTTTCAGACTGTTCCATAAATGTTTCCCAGGGATGAGACTCTTGCACACCGGGGAGCAGAAGGAAGCTGGAGCTGTGACTCTTCATACCTGGGGACTGAGGAATGGGTCACAAATAATCAGCCACATCAAAAAACTTCAGGGGAGAGGGACCCAGCAGATATCCTTCCTGAAGGCCCGGAAGAGTTCTCTTTAACTATCTGCCAGACCCCAGAAGCTAGAAAGGACCTACAAATGAAGATTACCCCATTACTTTCCCTCTCCTCCCTCCCTCTATGCTGGATGTGATGGAAGACAGAATTGAAGCTAGCTGTGGAGAATCCACCTGAAACACAAAATGTATTACAAGATTTGCACAATTATCGTATTAGTACAAATTCATTTTAATAAATGTCAGGGCTGGGATTTAACTGGAGCTTCAAATCAAATGAATAGTAATTTGCTTTTCATAAGGGTTTTGATTCAACAGCCATTGAGTATTAGCTTTTGAAAAGGAGCACTATGTCTTACATGTTTGTTCTTCCCCTGATTATGCCTAACATGAAACAGATTCACCTTTAAATGTTTGGTAACTGATCCACTTGTGGAGGCAAAATGTGGTTTAGAATAATTGAACATTCAAAATGGTAAAAGTTCACATTTCTAGTTTATATACACGCTACGAGGGAGGTTATTCTCCCCAGATTCAGAAAAGGAAATCAATGCTGAGAAACTTTAGTTTCCCCAAAACACGTTTCTGGCAGAGCTAGAAGTGAACATTAGCTTGACTGACTTCAAAGGCTACCCCTTTTCCACCACATTGCATCAAGCATAGTGAGCCAAATTAATTGAATTACAAACCTACATATGCACGACTGTAGTGAATTAGAACAAAATCAAGCTGATTGTATAACATCCAGCTAGGTCCCCTTACAATATCTTTGATAAAACACAAAACCAAACACCAATGTCCTTCGGAGCTTACCCATTTGATTGGCTTAAACAAAACTACATTTTAATTTGTGTGGTTTGTTACAAAACCAAGAAAATTATGGAACTAATTTGCGTTACAATATTTGTAACAGACAGAATCCATTCATTCACATCTGTATTCACTGATTCATTAAGTATTAGGTCAGCTATGTGCCCAGCACATAGTTTTTTCTCTAGAATTCAGCTGTGAACAAGATAAAAATCCCTCTTTTCATGTAACTTACATTTTTCTGGGAGAGGCAGACAATAATCATAAATAAATAAACAAGCAAATAAGATTTTTAAGTGGAATTCAACTTAATAAAAGTCTTCCATTTAAAAGATATTTTCAAAAACAGAAAATTATATTTTAAAAAGTTTTAAAGCAGTTTTTTATTATATAAGGGTTAAAAGTGTTGATTCATTGATTATATATATTCGATCTTACTGAGAGAAAAGTACTAAAAGACAGTGCCTTCATATTATTCATGGATACTAAAATACTTAATATTCTTAGCAGCAATATCTTAAAAGACCACAAGATGGTGACGTTACTCTATACACACAAATCTTTGACTGAAACGGTATAAACCTCCTTCAGTTTTTCCAATGCAAAACCTAAAGGTTTTACTATTCTAAAAACAAATATAGGATTTCAAAAGCAACTGTTACAATCATGTTAAATAATGATTTTCCTATTTATATTTTTTTAAATCTATGAACTATTTTAAAACAGCACTATGACTAAGTGAATCAACCAGAGATTTGGCAAACATTAAGGTTTCACTCTTAAAATTTGCTACATGAATTATGGTGGCTTGTCTGTTACATTCACACACAAATTTTTTTCTCATTGTGTATTTGCCTTTTTTTGGACTTCCTTTGGTTGTCCTCGATAACAAATTGTAGAGTGGTTAAGTAGCTAAGCATATATCAAAACAACACAATATCTTCACATCAAAAGAGATTGTTACATTGATGGTTTCTGTTTATATTAAATTACTTGTTTCAGGATGATATTTATAATTGTCATCAGCTAAGAATTCCAATTAGAAAAACATTCCAAAATAAATATGTCTCCTCATTACATCGGATGTGTTCTTTTGTCTATTTATTGAATTGTCTGCATCAACTCCACATCCTACTTCACTCCTTACCTTCTCCTCTGAATCATAGAAGAATCCCTTTCTGAGATGGTCCTAGGTCAAAATCTGACAATGGGAGACTCTCAGTTGAGATCTGCAAAGGAAAGAGATAAACTCTTTTTTTTTTTTTTTTTTTTTTTTTTTTTTTGCAAACAAGGGATATGGATAAGTAGCAAATGAGAGGTTTGCAGCAATATCCAAAACAATTTCTGTAAATCATGCATCTCAGTGCTTACAGGCACCTGGGATCTGCAGGTTTTCCCAAGATTGTTCAGGGTAATAACATTTTGTATGGGGGTTCTACAGATTTTGCATTTGAGGGTTGTAGGTAGCTGAAATCGTTGCCTGCAATGTAATTTTTATAACCTCTAGCAGCAACTTTTCTGAACTTTACTCCCCAGTCCAGTTCAATGGATGCATAAACCTCTAATTTCCTGTATTACAGCCAAACTTCTTGGAATACATAAAGTGCATCTGCTTTCTGCATTTAACTCAGACTAATATACTACCATAAAATTCCAAAGAAGCAAAATGAGAACAGACCATTTGAAACTGTTTCTATGTTTAAATTACCAAACTTAAGTGCATAAGATGACATAACAATTTCAGAAGTATAGTTATAATAATAATCACAACCAACCCTTCTGTCAAAAACAAGCAAGGGACACAGATCCACAGTGGCTGTGAATTCCTGCTGGCAGTTCTGCAAGAGAGCTTTTCTGGATGATAAGGAGTGTTCCTTGGACTCTTATGCTTGTTTCCTGGGAGTCGTCTCTCAGTCCTTATTCTTTTGATTTTATTCTCTGGGTATTGTGTTTGTTGTTGTTGTTGTTGTTGCTTTCTCTTCAGCTACATCTGAAAAGCAGTGCTTCTTGCAAGTAGACATGTAGGAAACTTAGGCCATTGTACATCTTGAAGAGACACTCTTAATTCAGGCTGGTTGTGCTTTAGCAGTATAATCCTCTCAAACATTATTGAAATTTTGTCCATTTTATACATCTAAGTGTTGGAAATGTGCCAGGAGAAACACCCACAGTTATTTTCACGACAAGGCTCTGTCTAAAGTTATCAGGCTATCTTGGGTGAGCCAAACTCAGTTATTTTGCTTTGAGCCATTTTCTTCAACTGACACATTTACTGGGATCACGTTTATCCATTTAGTTTTTAATAAAGGGCATTATGAACACACCTTGAATTGAATTTTGCTTGTAGATTGCAATTTAATCAGGCTTTGTTGCTCAGAGTATTTTTAAATGAATCTTTAACTGTTTAGATATATAGAGTTGTGTCTTTCAGTATTGCAAGATTATCTCTAACAAATTGCATTTTCTAATTATTCGAAGCTAAAGTATGAAAATACAGCTAAACTTTTATATTGTCTGGTACCCAAAAACTTTGATATACTGTCTTTAATTATAATTATCATCTTTAGAGTCTACATACAAAGGTATATTGTTTTTATTATTGAATATATTATTTTGTTTAATACTTACAACTCTGTATTTTTTAATTCCTTTTTTGTCTTATTTTACTGGCCAGCAAACTCAGTACAATAATGAATGAAAATCGTGTATTCTATATTCATTCAATATGTTACAGACAAAACTATCAAAGTGCCAGCATTAGATATGAGGTTGGCAATAGGTTTTCACACAAACATTTTATAAAGAAAGTTTCTCTCTGCACATAGTTAAAACAAAAAAAAAAATTGATTGCCCAATATAAACTCAGCTTTCTCATTGATATATTATGCTTTTAAACATAGTATGATGAGAGTTTTTTAAATATTTTGTGAGGATATTTGCGTTTCTATTTTAAAGTAAAATGGGCCTATGATATTTACTTCTTGAAAAGTCCTTGTTGGGATATTGTATCAAGGTTTTGCTGCTCTCATTAATGAGTTAAAAAGCTGTCCCTCTTTTCCTATTCTATAAAACTCTTTAAGTTTGATATATTTTTTCCTTAAATGTTCAGTGCAATTCACTGGAAATGTCTTGAAATTTTTGAATTTTTGAAGATCTTACATTATGGTTTCATTCTGTATCAGTTTTTAAATCGAGATTTTCCCACCTCTTTTTATTTGTTTTGTTAAGTTCTATATTTAAATAAATGCACGTTTTATCTAACTTTCCAAATTTATTAACCTATACTTGTTCATACAATTATCTTTATAAATGAACACCCTTTGGTGATGTCTGCTTTTATGCTCTTGATATTAATTTAAAAATGTTTTCTCTCCTCTCTTTTTCCAGATCTAGTGATCTGGAGGCTTATTAAGTCTTAGTGACTTCTTTTGAACCAAATTTTGCCTTATTTGATGTTTACTAGTTTGTGTTGTCTATTTCATTAATTTAATTCATTAATAATTTTATTAATTTTTTTCACTTTTACTAATTTATTCTCTTACCTTTATTATTTTTCTTCTTTTGTTTTCTTTGAGTACATTTTGCTGTTCATTTATATTGTTGACCTTCAGGTTTTCCTCTTTTCAAATATTTCTATTTTAGCTATATATTTCTGAAAGAAAGGAGTCAGAGGAAAAAGAGCTGTCAAAAATTAAGAGTGATGAGTTATGTAATAATGCTAAAGAGGTCAAGTAAGATAGTAAGAACTATTCAATGCACTTGATATTAAAAATTGCTGCGTATTCAGAAATATTTTAATGAGATAAATGATAATTCGATTATTGCTTCATCCATGATTAAATTCACTCCTTTTCTAGCAATCAAGCCTTGGCCCTAGATGGAAGATTCCAAAAGGTTATCAGTGGCCTCATTCAAAGCAAACCCTTGTCTCAGTAATGTTTATTATCACCATATTTCTACTTTATTTGCACTAAATTGTTTGGCATAGAATTTTGTGATATAGAAAAGTAAATCAATATAATTTTCTGAGCATGTTGGGAATACTCTCAATAAAGCAACTCTAAATATATTTGGACTCTTTAAGTAAAAAATTTTATTTCTATGAATTAAAAATTCAGAATTATCTGTAATATTTTATGTGTGGGAAAATTTATTGACTATGTTAAATCAAATTTCTAAACATATTAGAGTTTAAAATGCAATAATATCACATTAACAATTAAAATCTAGATGAATATTTAGGCGATATGTAAAAATTTTATAATGATCTATCTCTGTGATCTGAATGTGTCCTCTAAAATTCATATGTTGAAATTTGATTGCCAATGTAATGCAAATAAGTGAGGCCTTTAGGAGGTCGTTAAATCATGAGGGAAGAGTAATCATGGATGGAATTAAGGATTTTATTGAAAAATGTGAGGAAGTGGGTTTGCTACCTTTTGCTCTTCTGCCATGCAATGACAGAATGTTCATGCACTTTTGCCCTTTCCAGCCCTTTCAAACTGTATTTCTTACAGTTTGATATTGGGGGGGAAAATCTTCATTTTCTTATCTCTTGCACATGTTCACAAGACATGTATAAACATATTCATCCCTACCTTGTTGATAATAAAAGTGAGAAAGCAAGAAAAAAACACCAAAATTCTCACAAATAGAACAAAAAATGCTAAAACTTATATACTAAAATATTTTACAGCTGCAAAAGAATTTTATGCAAACATTTAACAAGTATTTATTGATGTGCTATTGTGTGCTAGGTATTATTCTAAGTGCTGAGGACAATTAACAAAACACACACAATTTCTGTATTCTTATAATCTATGTTATAGTAAGTGAATATAGACTACATGAAGAAAAGAATAATCTGTTTATTTTTAAATGATACACAATGTAGAGAAACAATAAAGAAAGAAAAGAAGTACAGACTATTCTTACAATCTATGTTATGGTAAGGGAATATAGACTATATGTAAAAAGAATATAATTTTTTTCTTTTAATGACACAATGTAGAGACACAAAGAATGAAAGAGGTGCAGATTTGTGTGGCAGAGGTAGTGGAGGTGGCTAAATTAGAGTCCAATATTAAACTTTCACATCAATATTGGATCACAGAAACAAATTACATAAAGTTAAACACAGTCTAATATTTATGTAAAATTTTAAGCTTGCAATATTACACATATTTATAGAACATCTATGCAAAGGAAACAGAAATATATTGTAAAAATTTGAAAGCATTTATCAGGTTAGTAAGCACTGGATTCATGAGAGTGGTTACATCTCAGAATAGCAACCTGTAGGATTGGGTTTACTTAAGGAAGACTTCAACTCTATCTAGGGTGTTTAACCTCTCCTCAAACAATATTTGAAGAAATGACATAATTATTAGATACTGCTGAGTGAAAGACATTAATATATGAGTGCTTATTACATTGTCCTCTTTTGTTTCAATATTTTGGTGGTATTGTGTTATAAAATCTTTATTAGCACCATGCTCTAGCTAACTGAACTAACCAGTCAAGCTTATTTTGTAATATAAACTTTAAAAGAACTAAATTTATGTATGCAGGTTTTTGGATAGGAGTGTGATTAGGAGTTTCTACTTGTTATTATACATTTTAAAGTTTATACAAAGATATGAATTGTTATTTCATTTGCGATCTCAAACTGATTGAACTAATGAGCTTCAAGGGGAGGTAAAGGGAGAACAGACAGTCCCATATGAACAAATCAGAACATTATAACCACAGTAGCACTAAACACTTGTATAATGCATACCATGTATGGTGTACTCTTTTCATTTTACTTTTGTTAACCCCTTTAAGTCCCACTGTAGCCTATGAGGTAAATGCTACTCATGTCCCAATTTTACAGGCGAGATCATGGCAGAGCTGTATATGTAAAGCATTCACTAAAATCTTTGGGAAACATTAATTGCTAAAGAATGGTTGTATTTATTATTGATATTGTCATTGTTGCTGGTGCCCAGATCGTGTTTTCTTTAGCACTGATCTTTTGGTGTTGAAGCTCATTAAGGAAAACAAAGAATAATCAGGCTGACAGAATTGTAAAGGAAAAATCTTTTTTCTTCACCATAAATTCCTGATAGCTCATGAAATATGTAATTTCATTTGTTTTGATACGTGAAAAGAAAAAAATGTGTTCTTCTCTTGATTCTCACTAATACTTTTCCATATGTATCAGCTCCTGCACTACTACAGCCCAGCTCTTTTCCAATCCATTCTCCACACTGTCATCAAGTAGTTTTCTATCCTGTCAATCTCATTAACACTCTTCTTTTTAAAGCCTTGCAATTGCCTACTGGATAAATGTCAAGCACTTTTTCACAGCACACAAAGGTCTCCGTGAATTTGTCTCACACTTTCTCTTCAACTTTATTGTTCATGGATACCCTTTGAAAACTTCTACATCTGACATATCAAAGTCAGAAGTACATTGCTCAAATTTATAATGCTATTTCATAACTTCCCACCTTGGCAAATTTTGCTCTCTCTGCCTGAAAGTTATAAACACGTCTTTCTAACCTTAGTTCAAGAGTCTCCCCTGGAAAATCTCAAAAATAGTTAATTAATTTTCTCCATTGCCACATGCTATATTTTACAAGGAAAAATATTTTGCACTAACAATACCTTTTACTCAAAATTATTGTCTATCTAAAACAATAATTCAGTTTTCATGTTATGAGAGACTATCACTATGTTTAGGAAAGAGAACGTTTATTCTCATAGGTTTAAAAAATGAAATATTTACTTTTCAAGTAAAAGAATGTCAACTTCTGCCTATATTAGGAAAAACAAAAGAGAATGTTTCAAAAAAATTATTGCTTCTCTGGCTTAACATGAGTGAGTGCTATGCACTGGTGACATAAAGATAAATAAGGAAGTCCCTTCCAATATTCTACAGTACGTAGAATGGCATTGAATTGTACTTACATGTAACTCACGAAAACGCATGCTGTTTTTAGGACCTAACATCCATGTAAATTATGACCCCACTATATCGTCAAACAACAATAAAACATTAGGCAGTACGCACTTTCAGTCAAGTTAACTGTATGTATATTATACTCCAAGACGCTACCATACATGTAACAGTAATGGATAAATTATAAAAAGCTAAAAATTATAAAGATATCATGCAGTCAAAAAACAAAAGTGCAAGACAAGGGTGGGAACGGAGCTCATTATTTCAAGCCATGCAATTCCTTAAGTTATTTCTTACGAAATGAAGCCAGATAAAATTGCCATGTTCTTCTGCTATTGAAAATTATATGAAGATGCAAAATTTTCTAGTATCACTGTTGGACAGGAAATCAGAATTTTTAATCTAAGATTTCATTCTGCACTAGAATTCCTAAACAATTGAGTGCAGTCAACCAAAAACTAAAAGATGCAGAGTTTATAGAAAGTGAAAAGTCTCACTCCACTGAGCCTGAAAGAAAAAATTCCAAAATAAATAATCAAATCTAACAATGAGAATAATGATCCAAAATACTAACACTTGAAAGTTGCATTCATGCCAGATAAAATGAAAATAAACAAAGTGTTTTAAAAGATAAAAACAGGAACAAGTATGTTCTGTCTGTAGAAAGCTAAATAAAAGAATTGCATCATTAAAGAATCAACTCCAAAAGTGAAACGAGGGCAATTAAAAATGACATAAAAAGTGAATAGAATGAATATCTAAAAAATCAACATATTATCTCTAGAAGAAAAACATTCAATAGAAGAGATGTGAACAAAGTCAAAAAATTAATAGAAGACAATGAAGAATTTTCTTGGTGTGCAGTAATGAGAGAGAAGTAAATTTCTAAAATATAAAGCAGCAGCTAAGAGACATAAAGGATAAATTGAGAGTCTTCAACTCTAATAGGAATCCAAGAAGCATGACCGAATGGTAGGAAATCATTTAAAGAAGCAAAAGCTCAGTGAAATACTTGAGTCTTGAGAGAAAACTTACATTCATCAGAAATTAAAAATAATCAATTATAAATGTAGATGGAGAAGAAAGTCAGATCGCCAAAAAGAAATTAGAGACAATTAGACTCTCAATATATTTATCAGAAAAAAAAAAAAAAAATACTGGGAGACAAAAGTATGATATCCTTAATGTGCCAAAGAAAAATAACTTTCCACTGAAATTTCTAATTTTGGCCACACTAACATTCAAGAAGACTGATAAAGATATTTTCAGGTATTAAAAAAATGAGAAAATTGATAGTCCCCAAATTCACACTGAAAGACTAATTAAAATATATGCTTGCCCGGGCATGGTGGTTCATGCATGTAATCCCTGCACTTTGGGAGGCCAAGGTGGGCAGATCATGAAGTCAGGAAATCGAGATCATCCCGGTTAACAGTGAAGCCTCATCTCTACTAAAAATACAAAAAATCAGCCGACGTGATGGCACGTGTTTGTAGTCCCAGCTACTGAGAAGACTGAGGCAGGAGAATCACTAGAATCCGGGAGGCGGAGGTTGCAGTGAGATGAGATCACACCACTGCACTCTAGCTTGGGTGACAGAGCAAGACACTGTCTCCGAGAAAAAAAAGAAAAAAGTTTTATATATATGTATACCCACACACATATGTGTGTATATATCTATATGCTTATACAAGAAGAAAACAGCC